AAAGGTGCAAGAGCCTTCCATTTCGACTGAAGCCAATCGTTGTTTCATCCCAGCCAACTTAACCATTCAGCCTATTGACGAGATAACCCTCCGTCAACAACCTAAGTTTGTGACAATTTTGATACCTTACCAACCCTCATCGTAATTACGAAGATTGCCTACAAAGTTGGTAACATGGTACGCCTAAGCAGATGTACCCCATTTTTGTTTTTTATCGATGCTGCCAACGACTCCAACCTCTTCACCCCTGCCTTAATCAAGCCATCACTCAAAACCGTGCGTTTCGGATTGGGGCTGGGCCACAGCCGTGGTATCGTACCAGTAGAGGTCCCGCAGCGAATCCTTGCATAGTTGGCAAATTGCCACGTACGGGCATGTACATTTTGTTGCGTTCTTGACCTGATGCCCGCGTTTATCGAAATTTGGACGCTCTGGTGAATGATACAAAAGTTATTAATTACGACGAAACACCCATCGACACACTTCTTGCGCCATGAGCGATGCCCTGCTCGGGGGACGCGCACTACGTGCGTCCGAGGACGCGCGCGGCAACTTGCACGGCGAAGTTCGTGACGATTTATACGACTCTGACGCCAATTTTCGGGGCACTAACAAGGAGTAGTTTAGTGGGGTCAGATGATCCTTCTAATCTAATATACTTCGAACTTGGGCGCCAATGGTAGGCGCTAAAGTCACTCAAAACGTTACGAACTTCGCCGCGCAATTTGCCGCACGCATCCTCGGACGCACGTAATGCCACGTAAGCGTCCTGCTCAGCTCCTGTGTGTTCAGGTAATTAAGTGTTTTCCCGACTATTCCAACTTAACTACTTGTTCGGATTACGCCCATTTCACGCACGCGCCGCTCTCAGTCCAAGTTGACAATTTATATGTACGCTCCGCCTCCGTGGGCGGAGCCCACACGTGCCCACATGTGCCACCTACCACCAGCATTTTCATCCTGTCTTCTGTACTCTTACCAAACTTGAGCGCCTCAGGTCCAAATTAACAGTAGGTAGATTAGATGAAGGTTCATCTCATCTCATCATTGCCGGGTTTGAACTCGCTTAGAAGTGTGGGAAACAATTCGGCCATTACAGGATCCAGTAAGCAAGAGGAAGGGAGTTGGATTTGTCATGCGCATACAAGTGGATAGTGACCTTGTATAGCAATAAATCAGAAACTTTCAGAGAATTCCACGAGATCTGGACTATCGCGTAATTTTTGGCACATAGATCCCAAACGACCTAATATTGCATGTTCGTGACTAAATGGTCAAAAATATCTTGACGCTCACATGAACGGGAACTTATGACCCCGATACTCGTCATTACGACTTTGCTTTTTCTAGAAGATATCTAGTGGCATCCAGTCGTGTTGTAACAATCGAATACTCCATTTACATCTATCGGTTCGCTATTCGCGCTTGGTGAGAGCCTCCGAAAGCCACGTAATCTTGTATGATCGACAAAAAAAAAAAAACATTTAGATGAATCACATCGGTAGAATGTTGTCTTTAGCACGGCATTCGTAGACATCTGAACGATTCTCTTCTAGCGAAGAAATATCGATTGCACTTTTTCTCAAATCGATTGCTTGCGGCGGCCTCAATGGCCCGAGAGACAGTGCGGCCGAGCCACAGCGGCTTTGCACTTTAGCCAGCCACCCAAGTCGTCATTGCTATTCGAACGATCGTCCTGGTTATACGATTCGTTACTGGCTGCTTCAATATTGTGAAAACTTACTCATAAACTCATCTCGCCATTCATATGCATCCACTTCAGTCCTTCGGTTTCCTGCCCAGAAGGCCTTCCTCTAAAATTCTTGCCAGGTTTAAGTCAAATTTACTTTTTCGCACGTGCGAACTAGTTCCTTATCACGAGTTTTTTTTACATCATAAAACTTGAGAAGATGTCAATTCTTATTAAAGGCAAGATGCATAGCTGAAAAAATCTAAATCATATTGAGTATCTATACGCACTTGCTCAATGTAGAATTATTTTTGTTTGTCTGCATAGATCATTAAATATACGACCGTTGATACGCGATGAATTAAGTAAGACATAAAATGTTCCTACTGAAAGTAGGTGGTAAATACTGCAAAAATTAATTTTGATGCTAAGTGAAGAGAGCCCCTTCAAATGTATTGCTCTCGTCTGGAAAGCTCTTCTTTTTACAAACGCTAAAGATGAATGCTGATTAGAAGCAAGTGCCATCGAACTTTGCCTCCCTTTATGTAGATATCAAGGTGATGAGCAGTACAGTCAACATAGGAACTGGACAGCATGAGGACGCGAGAAAAGCTAAATTTAGCAAGTTGGTGTCTTTCAGTTTGTTTCATCAGCTTCTTAATCAACCCGACAAATAACTCTCATGAATGAGGACATGTTGCGAAAACCAAGTCTTTCGCAAGAGCTACGTGACTTTTTATAAACAGACCTACTGTAGCTTCTGAGTTGAGACCGAGGCGGAATTGACGCAACCCGCGTGTGTCCTGCGCACTCTTCGTTCCGTTGTACTTTTGGATGAGCGGCTGGGCGCCTGTCTCTATCGATGTTTGCTTCTCTTAGAAGACTTCTGGATTGTGCTTGATACATTTCTCCAATCCATTCAGTCTAAAACCGCCGTCGAAATCAGTTGATCCCATTCTTATTTTTCTTGTGGGGGCTGGTGTACGTGAGCCCACGCAACACCGATAGGATCGATTTGTGTTCATTTCATGTGCTTGTTCTCTGCAGTGTGGTTTGTTGTCGGTGGCCGCCTATCGTTCTGCAGGAGCTTCATGACCACTGCTATTTCTTGCCTACGTTATCACTGAAGATTGCCTAGCACGCTCCTTGTTCACACTACTGTTTAAACCTAGGTAGAATGTTATCGGCGGCAAAACACAGTGTAAGGAATCTGATAGCACAACGTGCTTTCGCTCTCTCAGCACCTGCCTGTGATGCCAAACGTGGGAATATTGCCAATTACAAAGTCGTCGACCATGCCTTCGATGCAGTCGTTGTTGGCGCAGGTATACTTTTCAAGAGAAGGCACATTCAGGGATTCTTTCCTTTTTCGTATGGACTTTATTTTAGGTGGTGCTGGTCTTCGTGCTGCCATGGGACTGTCCGAAGGAGGTCTAAAAACTGCTGTCATTACCAAGATTTTCCCCACTCGATCTCACACTGTCGCCGCTCAAGGAGGAATCAATGCTGCCCTGGGAAGTATGAACAAGGACGACTGGCGCTGGCATTTTTACGATACCGTCAAGGTTAGTTCCACTTTATAAGGGGATGTGGAAGGGAGTTTGTGGAGCTACAGAAGCAGATTGGTAACATTTCATCTCTTACACAATGAGGAAAGAGAAAAGTAGCAAAGGCCGATGTAATTCCCTTGACTGAAAGTCCGTGCCCTCCTTCGGGCTGTGCTCCTGTCGAGGAAGAATTCATAAAAGCCACGCCATTAGTTTTTTTAAGCGAATATCGATTCATATATTGGTGCGGAAGCAACTGCCTTTGCACATCTGCTGATACAATCTGCTTTCGAAGCGCTTCCCTGTTCACATTTTTCCACTGAAAAGAGCTCGGCAACAATTAAGCCAGGCTTGTATTGCAGAAGATTCACCCCAAATATGTTTTTAGTCATACTTGACAATGCAATTTACAGTAAATTGCAGGTAGTTGCTCATGAGCTGATTCGGGTGTGAAAACAAATAGAGATGGGGGGCCATGACGTTATAGGGTTGCTTGTCCGTGAATTGTCTGGACAAGGTTGACGAGAACTGCTTCTAAACTTATTGATATCCTACGTGATGTGTGGTTGTAAACAAAAACTTTATTAAGAAGTGTAAACTCTGGTTTCCACATCTGGATGTCCCAGTGATTTCCAACGACTATGGCGGCGATATGCTGGCATCGTCTTGGCTAGAAAATATTTATTATTAGTGATTAGCGCCGTGAGTGGAGCAAGCAAAAATGATTTTTCTCTATGGATTCATCACGACAGCATCACGCTAAAACCTCGTACATTTTGCGAGGAATTTGAAGCCAATTTCAATTATTGGACCGCCAAATATTGAGCAGTTGCCAATTTCAGTGGCTTTGACAGTGGTCAATGTTAGCTTGTTGATTCATTTCACTGCAATAATCTATTCCTCTTTTGATTTCCTCATTGGAATGAATAATAGTAAATTCCTTTCCTTGTTTGTTAACTTACATTTCATTTTTGTACAGGGGTCCGACTGGTTGGGTGATCAGGATGCAATTCATTATATGACTAGGGAAGCTTGCCGTGCAGTAATTGAACTGGAAAACTATGGTAAGTCGTAATTGTAGCACTAAATTACTGATTTCAATTGATATAATTGTTAATACCTCAAGGAATGCCATTTTCTCGAACGCCGGAAGGAAAGATTTACCAGCGGGCTTTCGGAGGGCAGTCGAACGATTATGGTCGAGGTGGACAAGCTCACCGGTGAGATCTAGTAATCTGAATTTTCCAGCTTTGGTCTGTATTTTTTGTTCATTTACGTGGTATTTTGCTGCGTTGTTGGTTACGAAAACGACATGTTACAGGACATGTGCCGTTGCTGACCGTACAGGACATTCTCTTCTTCATACCCTTTACGGTGCTTCATTGCAGTACAACTGCAACTATTTTGTTGAATATTTCGCGCTGGATTTAATCATGGACAAGGTGAGTATGTTTGTTAAATGCATCCATTAGAGATAAATAAGCCCAACTAACTATATCGTCACTCTAGTACAGGTTGAGAGAGGTTGTCAACCTATTCATCTAGCGACTTTCTACTTTCCACTGCACCGTCCATTGTAGAGCCTCTGTTTGACTGGTGCTGATCTGTGAATTGAGATTACGGTGTATACGGGTACCTATTTATGACGTGGGTGACAACCGAATGTTCGGTGTCTACGTTGAACCCTTTTTCTACAAAAACAAATATATTCACAACCAACTTCTGTGTGTATGAGCTACCGACGCGCAATCGTGTGTCTTCGTAGGGCGCCTGTGTTGGAGTTGTTGCCATGTGCTTGGAAGATGGAACAATTCATCGCTTCCGCTCCAAGAACACCGTGCTGGCCACTGGTGGATATGGTCGTGCATACTTTTCGTGTACATCTGCTCACACTTGCACTGGTGACGGTGAGGAATGTATTTTATTTTCAGTTGATTGTTATTTTTTGCGTTTTCTCCGCCTATTGCTGGTCTTCCCAATACGTTTCCCGAAATGTAAAAAAGCGATGAGAGTGCGACTTACTGCGTAAATCAAAAATTAATGTATTCTCGATAAGTGATTGGTTTGGCTGTACTTACAAAATCAAGCAGCGCAACGGGAGAAGAAGTGTAGTCTTTATGTGATATAAGACTGATTGATCGTCGTGCAGCGATTTGTGGTGCACCTGTTCCGATGTCGTCCTGTAACACTACGAGTGTTGCACAAATGATGTGGGTACTACAGAACCGGACAGTGTTTCAGCCTCACACTGTAGAAAATTCTTTTAAAATCATTTCAGCAACATGGAATGACTTAGTCTATAGTGCTTTGGGGCGTAACATTTGTTACACATGTCTTCGAATAAGTGATATTAAGAAATGGCTCATGTATTGTAACACTGGAACGAAGCATTCACACAGGCTGTCATTCTGTGCCTGTGTTTAAATGTGCACTAATCAACCGGTGTTACTCTGGGAGAAATCAAATGTGCTTGTTTACTTTTTTCAACTCGCTGTAGTGTTTGGAGCGTATTATTCAAACGTAATTGTAATGGTTCTTTTGAAACTTTTTGCATCTCCTTATTTTACCGGTACGGATATGTTGAGGAAAATTCTCTAGTGCTTCGAATTGCGTGAAAGTTACTTGAAAGAAGACGTCTTGGGGAAGTCGGCGCTCGCTTGATGTGTTGTGGGTGCGGTATGAGTGGAATGATTGTTAGCAACAATGTGTTTGAATTGATGGTTATGATGATACAGGGTTGCTTTTGTTTAAAATATAATGTAAACCTGATAAATCAGTTGAAATAATCCAGTTGAAGGATAGTGTAGGGGACTTTTGACTTAATCTAACGATAAAAGCACTTTTCGGCATTTTCTGAGAAAATACTCACTTTAACTTTAGGCACTGGTATGGTTGCTCGTGCTGGCATCAATAACACGGACATGGAATTTGTCCAGTTCCACCCTACTGGTATTTATGGTGCAGGGTGTCTTATCACGGAAGGATCTCGAGGTTCGTCATTAAAGTAGCATTCCCTGCCGAAGGTCTACAATGTTGCTGAAACTAAGTTTTTTTTACTCAGGAGAAGGCGGATTTCTTGTGAACTCGAAAGGAGAACGGTTCATGGAACGCTATGCACCAAACGCCAAAGATCTCGCTTCTCGTGATGTGGTATCTCGAGCAATGACTGTTGAAGTAATGGAAGGTCGTGGTGTAGGTCCTGAGAAGGACCACATCTTCCTTCAATTACATCACTTGCCCGCTCAACAACTTCACGAAAGGTTGCCAGGTTTGTAGTAGTACTATCAGCTAACTACCGTTTTACTTGACATGAATTTCATCATTTCATATTTTTTTCATTTTCTGGGGAGAACGTATTGTTTCTCACACAGTTCTTTTCTGGATGACTGGGCGAGGTACAGTAGAACAGGAAATTTCTCAATAACCGTGAACGCTTTATTGTTTAGTGAACAGTTTGCTTTTTCCTCTTTATCATCACTTGGTTAGAGTTTTGGAAGCATATGAGTGCATTTTGATAAGTACATCAGTTTTCTTTATTTGAAGGCAGTTGAGGATAATTCTGAGTTATCTAGTCTGGGTGAAATAATGGAACTACTAGTGCAGATTAGTGTGAAGGTAACGTAGAAAACATGAAAGTCGGTATAAGGCTTCGAAAAAAGTAGTAAGAAAGGTGGTTGCACGAGATTACTACGGCAGAAGCAGCGGGGAAGGGGCGAGGAATCAGTTACCGCAGTAGCGTAAGCGAAATTGACTACCGATCTTGAACTTCGAGGGTTGGATGTTTTGATTATCGGCCATATAATTATCTTTTACCTTTAAATTCGTGAAACGTGTTAAATCTAATGTTGCAAATCCTAATAGGATGAATCAAACTACATTTGAGCGCAATTTGCAAAATATTCGCATGGTCTTTGTATCACAAAATTTCCTTGGCGAGGTTGTGTTATTAGTTTTGAGCAAGTGGGGTTTTGTCTGGAGGTAAAGGTGTTGCCCATCTGAAGTCAGTTTAGGCTTGAAGACGTTCCGTGTCTAATAGTGATATTTTTTAAGGTATCTCAGAATCTGCCATGATTTTTGCCAACGTTGACGTCACCAAGGAACCTATTCCCGTTATTCCAACTGTGCACTATTGTATGGGTGGAATTCCGACCAACTATAAGGGGCAGGTGCGGTTCCCTTTAACTGCTATCCTAACGTTTATTCTTGTTAGTGAGAAAGTCTTTTGTGGTACGCAGGTTATATCGGATACTCTTCTGACCAGGCCTTTTTTGTCAGCTTAGAGTATATTATATTGGTATTAGTCGTTTTTCAACTGATTTCTCTTTGTGCTACAAAACAGTCAAAATCGTAGTTTTTCAGGTACTTAGCTACTCCAAAGACAAGGGAGATCAGGTTGTCCCAGGACTATATGCCGCTGGAGAGTGCTCAGTTCAATCAGTGCACGGTGCCAATCGTTTGGGTGCGAACTCATTGTTAGACCTTGTGATCTTTGGAAGATCTTGCGCTCTCACGTACGTGATTCTTATATCTAGAGTTCTTCTGAGACACGATTTTTGTTGCCATTTCAGGATCTTGGGGCACACTAAGCCAGGCGTCGGTGTTCCCGATTTACCGAAGGATGCCGGAGAGGCATCTGTTGATAATATCGATACTCTCATGCACAGAAAGGTAAAATGCTTTTCTGACAGACACTGTACATGTACATATAGTTATAATCTGACATTCATGTTTCTAGGATGGGCCATCTACTGCCAAAACCCGTCTGGAGCTCCAAAAAACCATGCAGAAGCACGCCGCTGTATTCAGGCGTGGGGATATTCTTCAGGCGAGTGTCCACTTCAACAGTTTTCAGGGCTATTCATAGTTGTGGTAGTCCCTATGATATTCGTAGTGAAACTATAACAATTTCTTTCAGGAAGGTGTCAAAAAAGTGGAAGACATCTACAAGAACTACCACAACCTCCATGTCACCGACACCAGCCTTATTTGGAACACTGACCTCATCGAGACACTGGAGCTCCAGAACCTTCTGATTAGTGCCCTACAAACTGTTGTTGCTGCCGAAGCCCGAAAGGTACATATATAATACCAGTTGATATTTACAGTGGTTATCATTGAACTAAGGGTATCACACAAGAGATGATAAGCATGTGGGATTTACGTAAGTATTTGATTATTAAACGACGTGTTAAATGATCTTGCTTCTGTGTGCAGGAATCACGCGGTGCACATGCTCGCGACGACTTCCCAACACGTATCGATGAGTACGACTACAGCAAGCCGCTTGAGGGACAGAAAAAGAAGCCATTAGAGGTCAGCTTCAGTGCTGTTATACAAGTGGAACCTTTCTTGAGGAATTCTTCATTGAAGTGCCTAAACTTGTTGTTTTTAAGGAACACTGGCGCAAGCACACGATGATCACTACTGACATCAAAACTGGTAAAGTGAAGCTCGAATACCGCCCCGTTATCGACACCACTATGGATAAAAATGAGGTTGACTGGATTCCTCCGAAGGTCCGTTCGTATTGAGCGGAGCCAACTTGTTATCGCTCTGATGTGGTTTCTGAACCCGAGATTTCATTTTCTGTGTAGAACTGGATTTCACTGTTTGCAAAGTATTTATGCTAAGGTTTTGTTACTAAGGTGGTTCTCGTGCTAGTTAGCCTGTACATTGAAATTGTAGTTAATTAGATTGTTCATAGTTTTTGTTAAGTATTTTCATAGTCTGTCTCGATGCGAGTAAACTGAAACCCGGTTAAATGAAATTTGTGTTTGTCAGCAGACGAAGGAGATATTTTTGAGTGGTGTTGCGACCAAGCGGTATTTGCGAATTTGCGGTGGAAATCAGCTTAATTTTTTCGTTTTTCACGAGGCCGAAATCAAAAATCATTAGGGTTGGAGTTGAGAACACTATGGGCTTGCTCAACACTTAGGCTATGGAAGAAGCCACTGCGAAGGCTGTGGAAGCTTGTCAGAGAGGAAGTTTGGAAGCGTTAGAAGCTGCCTTGGCTGAAGGTGTCGTTCCGGATGCATGTGACGTCGACGGATGCTCCTTATTGCACTGGGCTGCAATAAACAATCGCATTCCGATTGTTCGAAGGTGTAAACATTTGTTCTTAACTTCTTTTTCCTTCTCGTAGGTGTAAGCCCTTCATTTGGTTCTGGTCATTGATAATCTGATGTATGCTTGACCCGCAAAGCCTTTGAAGTGGATGGTGAGGAGTCGTAGGAACTGTAACACATTCCCCTATAGTTCGGTTAGTTCTACTAGTTCATGCCTTAGAGAAATATCAGTAGTTTCCATGCGTGAATGAAAGTCCTTCATTGTCCCCTTTGGTGCTTAAAACACGAACAACAACAACAACAACAACCACTCTTTCACCATTCCTTTTGTGACTTTCTTGCGGGGATCTCAGAAAAAGGTTCACCGAGCATGTTTTAAAAACTGCAAATTTTTTTCGGTGATGATAGCCTTGATATCATGAGTTACCAATTGTAGCTACTTTGAAATACAGGCTTCTCGAGCTCGGAGCGAATCCAAATATTGTTGGAGGGCTGCTAGTATCTTCACCACTGCATTGGGCTGCTCGTGTCGGGCATGTTTCAAGCTCTGCATTGCTGATAAAGGTCAGTGTATTTGCTTCTCTGCTCATGAGCGAGGTAACTTGCGAGAGGATCATTCTTTGCCTTGTCTTTGTTACAAGTTTTGGCTCATATTTTTATAAAAACTTCTTAAAGCGAACGGGCTTTGGAATTGCCTTTTGTTAAGAACAAATCAAGTTTAATCCTTGAATTGACTGCAAAATTTTTTTGAGTCGCGAAGGGAACTGAATTACTTCTGTAAGAAAACTAAATATTCCCAAAACAGCCTTTTTTTATTGGAACTTACATAGTTCTCAATAGTAGAGTAAATGAATCAAGTATTTCGCCGATCTTGCCTTTAAAAAATCGCATTCGATACTTAGAGAGCAGTACAGCAGATGTCAGGGGATCTATATGATAATTCCATTTAGGATTGCAACAATCATTTTAATGGTCCTCCTATGGAGGTGCAGTTAACATGAGAGTTCATTGATAGCGGTTTACTTGTTTTTTGATTCTGCTTCACCTTCATATCCTGATTTTGCTTTCGGAGCGGGAGCCTAAGAAAGGAGTCAGCTGTGAATGATTGCTTTTTCTCCTTTATTGCCTAACCAGTCGAGCTACGCACCCTAACGCGTGCATTACATGCCCACAACGTTTACCTAAGATTTGTTAGGGGATCATTATGAGCAGTATCTTAGAGTCCTTATCCCATAATGTTTCTTGACGCGCCCACGTGACATTTCATCCTCGTCATCGTGCCTACGTGACTTTTCGCGGACAGGCGCGTAAACCGGCATACCAACGGACAACAAATTTTGCACTTTATATATAGAGAGATACAACTGCTCCATTACATGGCTGAACTTTTGAAAGCATGATTAAGTTCATGAGTATGAATGAAGGAATTTTCTACTAAGACAAGTTAAACATGCTTGGAATATATGTGACTATGCGTTATTGTAGGCTGGTGCTGTTTGCAATGTTCGTGACACTCAAGGATATACACCTATTCATTTGGCTGTGCAGAGCAATCAACCAACCCTTGTGGCTTATTTGCTCGAGAAATTCGATTATTGCAAGGACATTACCGACAACAGTGGCATGTTTTTTTCTTCGCTTTTATGATATATAGGCTGGTATTGTTTATCTTATCAGGAATTTAGATTTTTCCACCCATTCTGTTGTGTAAAACGAAGGGCTTTTGTAATGAGATTTTCCCCGATAGCTCTTCCTCTCAGAAGAAATTTTTGGGCAGAACCCAGCAATTCACGTCACAGATCAGAAACTAAGAGAATTAGCAGGTGAAATGAAGCGGTTCGTGAGTTGCGCAATGAAAATCTCTGATGAGTGAAGATTGGGTTGTAAAGTGGGAAAATTAGAAAATGAGCAACTCACGGGTCACTGTGGGGAGGACAGGGGACTAATTCGCATCTGGAAGAAACTTTGGAGCCTACAACTGCATTAAAATTGCCCTGAACAATAGTATAAGTCGGTTTGACCATCTAATGCCTCTCTATTCCCTCCTTAAAGCGCTTGATTTCGTCGATCTATGCTGAAGCAGTGGCGCATACTCTTGCACAATTTTGAGCGTTCGCTTCCCCAGCAACTTGATCTTCAGTATCGCAACCCGCGGGAACTGGATATTGCAAGAAATAACAGAGAAGACTATCTTTGCTTTTACTCCTATAGCTGCTGGTTCACTCGACTGTTCATGGCTGCTTATCTGCTTATTCGATATGTTCGAAGCTAAACGCCACGGCGGGCAGTCTGTTCCTCTATGCACAATCTGAAGGCGCGCCAGATGGCCTTGAGCGTAAGCTTTTTAGGAAGGTATACACCGCCTCTCCAGGACTTTTTCGTATGTAGTCACTTTCTTCATTGACAGTTTGTGCTAAAATGCAAAGTCAGTGGAACTGTTTGCGTGGGGAGCACCTGCGATAGTCGGCTCTTCTAGCAAAAAGCGGAACAATCAGAAAATACTATTCGATAGGCTAAGTAATCGGAAAATGTGTTTATGGAAATGCTCCACGAACGGAAATATGAGGCGGGATTTTCTCAAAAGCGCTTATAGGGGAAAGCTGTTATTTCGTCCACACTGGATTCTTCTTGAGTATTGTGGGTCATTCCAACGTAGAGACGATTGCCCTTGGGTTACTTATTCATTGAGATCTCTTGGCTAGGTTTACCTGAAATATTTTTGCAGGAATGACACCAGCCATGTGGGCAGCGTATCGTACATTTGGAATGTTTCCGATACGTATAATAGTGCGAAGTGGAGCAGATTTGAATGCGCATGAGCACCTTTCTGGTAATACAGCTCTCCATATTGCCACTCAAGAACGGAATTATTGCTCTATCCGGTAATCTTTCGGTCTTCATTTGATTACCTTTCGAAATGGTTATTTTCTCTGATCAGCACTCTGGAAGCTGTTCCATTCCAGTGAGCTACTGTTGGGAGACGCTGATGTTTCACGACGTAATAAACAGCAAGAAACACCTCTTGATATTGCAAGGAATATGCGGAACCAGAAGCTAATCGGTTGGTAGGCGTTCACACAACAGTGATGATTGGATGCTCGAAGTGAAGGGCTACGGTGAACTAGCCTTCTGTGTTATTTCTTCCTGTTAACAGATATGATCGAAGAAGCTGCAAGAGCGCAAGGGATGGTACCTAATATGTGGTGTAATCGCTTGCCGTGGAAAAAAATCAAGCACTACGGAGGGTTTTTCCTGCCAGGTCTGTATCATCTCACGGTTCACTGTTACAAAATCAACATGTGCTGGTTGAGTTTTCCGAATGTCCAGTTTCATTGACGTGCGATTGTTCATACTCAAAAGTGGTAACTTGCCAATTGCGGGGTTCTAATACAAAAAACAAGCTGCAAAAAGAAGGCAAAAAATAATATACATAGCCTGCTCAATTTTTCCTATTACATGGGTTGTGCTTGTTTGAGCGGGTATTACTAAAGCAGGACCGTTCAAGGTTTCTCTCAAACTCATTCATCCAAGCACATGCGAAGCAAAACAAATACTTAAAACAGTGTCAACAGTCGCTGCGCATTTTTAAATAAATCCCACTCAACTGTCCAATGATTACGCAATGGCGCCAGTGCAGTTGCCATCTACATCACGAGAGTACCGCATCCATCTCTTGTAAGAGCGTTTTTGTTTCTTCAATTCGAAAACCTACCGTTATTTCCTTCATTTGTTTGCCTTTTTATCTTGTTATCGATTTTTCCACAAATCTAGACGAGGATTGCTATTTTTTTGACAGCTGCCATGTTTTGTTTTTCCTTCATTCAATATGAGAATGAGTAATGATGCCTTTTTTCTAAATTCATCAACTTAAGTATTCAATTGTATACGATGTAACTGCATGATGAATTCGCTTAGAGTTTTTTTTTTGAAGTAGGAGTCACTTTTCCTATTCGCTTGCAAGTTTTTTGGTGCTTTAGCAGCTGTCGAATGAAAATGGCATAGGCCCTCCATGTATGCACACAAAAAATCTGCTACCTTTCCATATTGACCCATTATTTATCTTTTGGATATAAAATGGTAAGTTGTAGCGGAAAAAGGATTCATCAGAGCTCACACGCGTCCAATTCGCTTTACATCTTCAATGCTTTCAGGATCAGTGTTAGGAATAACGGCTCTCTTATTTCTCTCATTACACTACGGTATCGCTGCCTTTATTCTACTGACGGCGATTCTCGTTTCTCAGTGTTTCATCAGATTTGACATCTACTCCACTACGTCAAGTCTAATTCCTATTGGAATCTGTGTCGCCGAACCAATATGCATGATGATAACATGGTGATTTGATTTCAGGTTTTCTTATCAGTAGGGAATCGAGTAAATGTCGTGGTTTCCAGGTACCTCTACCAACATCTATTTGTTTCTTGGTGGCTGCAAGTCATATTCGTCATATCCTTGCTCATTCTTTTTGGTTCTTTACTAAGGTGCGAATCTCATTAGATTTAGTTCATCCTTGCCAAAGTCGTCGATTCGTATCCATGCGTGCGAGGTCGAGTATTCCTCATGGTGCACTGCAGTATTAGATATCTAAACATAAGCTGAACGATGGAACTTTTTTTGGAATCCTCCACTTGTAATATCCTGGGAAAGGAATATGATGTATTAATTACTTCTCATGCAACTGACCAAGAATTTCTTCAGTTTTCATGACAGCGGTTTAGCATTTCCTGTGTCTTTGAATCTTCGTAGATGCTACGGTGCAATGTGTTGGCCTGGTTTGCCGTCTTCCTCAGTTATTGAATATCTCTGTTCTTGTTCAGGATAGTTGTTTCGGATCCCGGTGTGATTCCTCGAAATCGCGAGGCACATACCGATTTTGTGGAAGCTATTGAGAACTGTGATCGTGTGAACTACTGCTTCACATGCTGGGTGGACAAACCTCAAGGAGCAAAACACTGCAGCATTTGTGATCGGTGGGTCAAGTACTGTGATTCAGTGAATTGTAATGTTGAAACGGTAGAGAAACCGGTTTTTCTATCAAAAGCAGTCATGATTGTCTTCAAATTGCTGTGGCAAGAACTGGGCAGTTGACTTCGAACGAATTTCTGTGGCCTACCAGGTTAAGCTCCAGGCCTTAGTGCTTATTGAATTCTCTAGAGCTTTGTAGCTCTTCGAACTGTAGAATTTTCCACTATCAAGCGAACAATAACACCATTACTTGATGAGCTTTTCTTATCCTTTACTCCATATAAAAAAAACTCGCTGTAGTCTAGAGAAGCCCTTGAACAGGTCGAGTGAGGTATGCGGTGGTCCACCCGTCTCGGAAAAGTGGGAGCACCTTCAAAATGGGCTTCATTCACTAAATAGTTTCTCAAGTCAATTCCACTAATGACCAGAGCCTAAAAAAATCGTAGAAACAGGTCGATTTGCTGGGTTATGCCCAAATTAAGCCCAAAGTAGACGGTCGTGCTCTCACATGGAAGGTCCTTACGTATTTCATAACTTTGTTTGAAAACTTTTGGGATCCGCAAAAAGGGATTGTGGGTTCCCGAAGGAAGCGTTGTCAAATCTTCATTGCCGGTAGAGTAATAGCTGTAGCTCAACTTGTAATATATAGAAAACAACGAGCTAGTTCATTATTTCATCTTGTCTGATTCATTTCAGATATAAATAACATTTCTTTAAGTGTTACAGGTGTGTGAAGGATTTCGATCATCATTGTCCATGGCTCCATCAGTGCATATCTATTCGAAATTTACGACTGTTTCTTGTTTTCGTTGCTTTCGTTGCCATCTCAGCCGGAATCTACTCCTGTGCATGTGTACTGTTTCTCATTGATGAGTTCCGAAGGTTGGAAATTGGTGAGCAAAGCTCTTTTGTAATTAGTTTTATTGTAATTTAGGGAATCTGGAAACGGTTTTGCATCTGTTCTTACTTTCCAATCTATCCCCTTTTGAACAAACATAGGTGAAACTTCGTTGTTCATATTTGCACTAGTCGGGCCGCCTGGCTAACGCCGGGCTTCCTCCTTCTCATGGGTTCGCCCGGCTACGCCGGGCGCTCCTCCATCCTGTGAGAAATTTG